TAAAATCGAAAAGATTTATGGCTATCTCTATCAAACAATAAAATTTTCTACTTTATAGTAGTTTTTTTCTTTACTTAAATGTACAAATTCTTGTGTATTTCACATTGAAAATAATTAAATAATTTTTTGAATTGACCTATGTCCAAAAATATGAAAAAGTGTTAATATTCGACCTGGAAGATACTTTGAACAAAAGGTTCTGTTCCAGAGAAAGTGGAATTTAAATGTGTTTATTAGCTTTATTGTAACCTTAAAAATATTTATTCTCTTATATTTTTTATTACAGGGATAATAAATTTGTCAAATTCACTTTTGCGAGGAAATTCCTCAGAAATAATCATTGCCTTCCAATACTTGTGCCTCAAAATCAAGGACAGTTTTAGGAACATGTTATATAATAATTTTTCCGATTTTTGACAGAAGAGTCTCAAAAATAATGGCGCATACAACTGTTTGACACTTCTCTTTGTGACAATTATTTATTATTCATATCAACTTTTTATTTTTGTATTTATGAAACACTTTGTGAGATTTTCACTAAGCAGTTTTCATTTATTTTCAATGTTTTAATATTAATACTTGTTTACAAAAAAGGTTTGAAGCTTTAATAACTTCTAATTATTATATGTAAGTGCTTTCGATCTTCTTCATGGCTCTACTCAAACTGAACGTTTTATCTTTCTGTTTGTTCTTTTATATAAAAGAGACAATCATAAATATCCTTAAACATTTTTTTTGATCCACAGGAGAGAACAAAATATGGTTTCATTTTCATCTGCTATAATGAATTAAATTTATTCACTTATAGAGCCAGAATGATTCAAAATTTGATAGTTTCTCATTTTATATTAAAAAACAAATCAGGTATACCTTCAGTATTTTTTTTGGTTTCCAAGATTTTTTTTAATATAATATGTGTCTAGTCTACTCAATTACATTCCCACTATTTACTAATCCTTCCTGAAACTTTCAATTAATAACAATAGGGCGTTTGATCTCACTGAATCTTATCCTAAAACTGTCCTTGAGTTTTAAAATTATGTGCTTTCAGATCACTGTCCAGAAACTACTTATCCATATTTTATAAATTTTATTTATACAATTTTTAAGATATATTTTATATTACTGTTATATTGTCATTTAACTTTACTAGATATATTATAGATGTTGTATTGTGTTTAAATTCTTTACCAGATTTATTGTGGGAATGTTAAGAATTTTTGTGTACATTGTCCTCAACAAGTTTGGTGTGAATTTCTTAAAATCATGTCAAGTGCTTCAACAGCAATAACAATTATTGTTTCCGAGGAAACAAACTGAAGTATTTGCCAAACTAGGTAGCCAAACTTGTTTTTGTTTGTATTGTAAAAAATAATTTCACCACAAATACTGTATTATATTTTTTAAATTTTATAATTTATTAATCTTCTAAGAGGTGGTCATTTCACAAAAAGAATGGTTCCACCAAAATTGAACTTCGGAATCAATATTAGGCATTTACTATTCTTCAACTGATTTGCATTTACAAAAGTATGTGGATTTACTAGAATTATATTTGTTAAGAATATATGTTACCATATATAAATATAATTTGTGTATAGAATATGTTCATGTGTTGATGTGAAACATTATAAAATATCTTTTTCAGATTAGCTCTAGTTCAGTATCTTATTATTTTCAATGACGATTTCTCCACAGATTGTCCACTTTGTATTCAAACCTGTAATATACCGAATTCATTCATTATGATTACCTTTTGGATATCTTCTATTAGAAAAAAAAGTTCCTGAAATATGAAATTAATTTTCAAACTAGTATCAGATACAAATTTTATAACAGTATTTGCATTGAAAATAACATGAAATCAAGATTTCACATGGAATTTTTTGCAATTATGAAAATTTTTGGAGAGAATTCTAAAAGGTAACGACATGAATAATTCCTTATTTTCCTCAAAAGTCTTCGGAAACAACTCCGATTCCTTAAATTTTTTTCATCAATTATTTGAAATCAGAAATAATTCAAAGACAATTATTTAAATTGTTTAAACAATGTGTTTGATATTTATACAGAAAAAATCAGTTTGGCCTGGCTTTTACATTAGATATTTATGTAATACTATGGATCCAATGTTGAAATTGCTATTAATGGATATAATAATGATAAGACTGAGAAATCGTAGATATATAAGTTATACTCCAATCAATAATTTAATTGAAAAATACATGCCCATTGGATACAACAAAAAAATTTTTTAGGAGAAAGCAGAAATAAAAAAGTTTGAGCTTTTTCTGTAAAAACTGGCCAAAAATAATATTGATTGGAGTCAAGCAGAAAGAGATGCAGATCAATCAATTGTACAATCAGCTCTAGATAGTATATTCCATGATGTAGTTGTTGTGACAGACAATATTGATCTGTTTAGTGGTATTGATGGCTTTATCACTTAATTATGAAGAAATATTTTCAACCGCTCAAAAATAATGCCTTATAACCATTTGCAAAGTCTTATTTTATTCATCTACAAAGACACAGGCATTTACATTGAATTCAGTTCAATCCCTGTCTATTACATATCTGCTGGTTTTGTCATACAGAATTATTGTCAATTTGGTATATCTCTGAAAACACTACAAGTCGATTAGTTACCTCTGTCAAAGGAAGCAGCAAAATAACGTATTAAAAGAGTTAACTTGCAATAGAAAAATATATAATGAGGTTGGCAGATGTTTTCTGAAAATAAATAACGTATATATATATATATCTACGATTCCTCCCAGGTGCTTATGTTATCATTATTATATTCATTAAAAGCAACTTCAATGATTGATGGCATAGTTATTACAAAAGTATTTACGTATTGTACGTTATTGTAGTCAATGATAAAAAACAATTTAAAATAACTGCAACACTGGATTCTTTATGAAAATATACATATTGTTCGAACAATATGAATAATTCTGTCCCCGCTTCAAAATTTTTTCATTTCAAATAATTTAAAAAAGCAGAACATTGTAAAACCAGTCATCAAAATCGAAGCTTTATCTGAGGACTTTGAAGATTGCCTGATTTAGGTATTCGTTGAACCCACCAATAACAATACTACTAACATAACCATTCCAAAATGTATTTGAAATAAATTTTCAATAGTTATAACGAAAATGTCAATGGTCCAATTCTGCAATTTATAATTCAACAGTATTATTATTTAAGTAAAACAGTTCTGTTTATGGAAAAAATATATAAAAAATTCAGTTTTGAAATAGATGTTTTATGATCTCTTTAATGTTTTATTTCATTTTATTCCGAGAAATTGTAGGTCTTTCAAGTAGTTTATTTGAATCAATTTGAAGATGAATTACTATTGAGATTCTCACGAGGTAAGATGGTAACCCATGGTAAAATTAAAATTTTTAAGATCACTTTTAAAATATACTAGATGAATCCACAGGGCGTATTTGCTACGAGGTTCAGAAAGTAACGGGAATATTTAAATTTCACGGGTTTGGAGAGTCCGACCGTGAAAATTTTATCTTATTATGTTGGTATGCATACTCTTGAAGTATAATTTTCAGCTGTATTCATTGTTTACTTTGTCCGTAGTAGATGCTAAGGTTGAAAATGTTTTTAAGAGCTCTGCGATTTTCGTTAGTTAAAACAAATGTATAGAATAATTTATATAAAATTTTACTTGAAAATCAAATAAAGTATAACAAAATGTGTGCAATAGACAAAGGCCTATGGTTCACGATTGATATAAACGTTTCCAAGATGACCCCAAAGACGTTGAAGATGAAGAATGCTGTGGATACCTCAGCATCGATGAAAACGTGCAAAATGTGAAAAAAATTGTTTTGAACAACGGCCGAATCAGAATCAGAGAAGTCGCTGATAATTTGCGTGAAGTAATCTGAAAAAAAAGGTCCGGATTTGTGGAAAAACAATTCATGGCTCTTGCACTACTATAATGCACCTGTTTAAGGTTTAAGAAAACGAAAGTAGTGTGTACTTTTCGGATCATCGTACATTAACTTAAAACTGCTGAGGAGGAAATAAAGTGGCCATTTTAATGGCAGGAAAATGAAATAGTTGTCCCATTTCGAAAATATATATTTTGGCTACAATGAAAACCATCACATTATCCACTTGGAACCATTTTGAAAATGTGGCCGTATAACTTTTATATACAGGGTGTATCTTAAATGATACCATCAATTTCAGGTGGTGATTACTTGTCATCGAATTGGAATTGGAATTTTGATTCCAGTGGCGTCGCAGATGGTTACTTGATTGATATTTATGGTAGAAATTATTGTACGCCACTGTTTTCACTAAGTAAACTTTTTTAAATAGCTAAACTTTATCGAATCAGAACAATAGCGTTGAAATGGAGATGATACATTATTCAAGTTCAAAAATGTGTTTTGATATTCGTCGCCGTTTGAACAAGCTCTGATATAAAAATCTGTTTGGATAGTAGATGAAAGACGTATTCAGTTTGCTACTTAATTTGTATTTTATTTGGAGAACAGCATAGGTAATAATGGAAAATAATGAAATTAGATGCTGAAAATGAGAATCTTGACTTGTTATACATCAAGTCTTTTCCTCATCAAGTGCCGCAGACGTTCAATGAGATCAT